GGGCGGGTGCGGGGCCCGCGTGCTGCCGCGTTGCTGAACCCTCAGCGTCCCTCCTGTTCCTGCTCCCTAGCGCCGTCCCGACGGAGAAGCAGCAGCGATGTTCGACCTTAAGGCCTGGGCTGAATACGTCGTGCAGTGGGCTGCGGAGGACCCCTACGGCTTTCTGACCACGGTGATCTTGTGCCTTACGCCGCTCTTCATGGTCAGCGCGGCGCTGTCCTGGAAGCTTGCAAAAATGATTGAGGCCAGGGAGCGAGAGCAGAAGAAGAAGCAGAAACGCCAGGAGAACATTGCAAAGGCCAAACGAGCAAAGAAGGACTAATGGGGCGAAAAAGGCCGGCCTTGTGCGAAGGACCCACTTCTTTAATGAAACACTTGCGTAGTTTGTGTCCTCTCCTTTGATACTTGAGCCTGTTATTTCTTGAAGCATGAAATCTAATCCTTGCAGTCAGCTAGTTGCTGCTGAGATGGTTGGTTTCTCCAAGTGACACACGCGTGTTCCAATGCTTTGTTCTGCTACTTGCCTTCTAGCGCAGGTCGCGTTTCTAACTCTCATAAATCAAACAGTAACCTGTGGGGTGGCACAGGTCGTGATCTTTTTCCTTTAGCTAAGCTGTGACTGAACCAGTGTCCTGAAATCGTCGAATCTGGGGGGATGTGTGAATGGTAAACGGGACTGCGGAAAGGTGGGGATAGGTTATGGTGAGGCTGCACTCACGGGAATAAGAACGGGGAAGTACAAAGACTAAGAGCAACTCCATCTCAATACAAATTTTCACTAAAGTTCCCTTATGTTTTTCCACATCCTGCCCACTGTGTTCCTTTCTCGTCACGGGACCGTACAGTTGGAGAAGACCTTTACGATTGTTGAGCCACCCTCACCTCTGTCCTTGTCGATGCTGCTGAAACCTGTGTTTGTTTCACACTCGCTGGACAGCACTTGTGGTCAGGGCTGTCCGCTGAAACCGGGCCTGTCCCGTTAGTGTCCCCCCAGCTGTGCTGTTACTCCTCGTCCCCCGAAACAGCACTGCTCAGCCACCGCCGCTGCTCAGGGCCTCACGGGAGG